CACAATCACTCTGATTCCCTGTGGGCACTGGAATATAATGTTGCACAAAGTTAGATAACTGTCTATGTGAATAGAAAGTTATCCCCCTAAACCACTCTGAGCAATAGAAAGCAGCAAGCTTGACCTTAATGGGAAATATATACAGGTGCTGGTCATAAAATTAGAATATCATGAAAAAGTAGATTGATTTCAGTAATTCCATTTAAAAAGTGAAACTTGTATATTATATTCATACATTACATACAAACTCATATATTTCAGATGTTTATTTTGTTTAATTTTGATGATTACAAATGACAACAAATGAAAATCTCAAATTCATCATATCAGAAAATTAGAATATTGTGAAAAGGTTCAAAATTGATGGCCCCTGGTGCCACACTCTAATCAGCTAATTAACTCAAACCACCTGCAAAAGCCTTTAAATGGTCTTTCAGTCTAGTTCTATAGGCTACACAATCATGGGGAAGACTGCTGACTTAACAGTTGTCCAAAAGACGACCATCGACACCTTGCACAAGGAGGGCAAGACACAAAAGGTCATCGCTAAAGAGGCTGGCTGTTCACAGAGCTCAGTGTCCAAGCACATTAATAGAGAGGCGAAGGGAAGGAAAAGATGTGGTCGAAAAAAGTGTACAAGCAAGAGAGATAACCGCACCCTGGAGAGGATTGTGAAACAAAACCTATTCAAAAATGTGGGGGAGATTCACAAAGAGTGGACTGCAGCTGGAGTGAGTGCTTCAAGAACCACCACACACAGACGTATGAAAGACATGGGTTTCTGCTGTCGCATTCCTTGTGTCAAGCCACTCTTGAACCACAGACAGCGTCAGAAGCGTCTTGCCTGGGCTAAAGAGAAACAGGACTGGACTGCTGGTGAGTGGTCCAAAGTCATGTTCTCTGATGAAAGTAAATTTTGCATTTCCTTTGGAAATCAAGGTCCCAGAGTCTGGAGGAAAAGAAGAGAGGCACTTCATCCACGTTGCTTGAAGTCCAGTGTAAAGTTTCCACAGTCAGTGATGGTTTGGGGTGCCATGTCATCTGCTGGTGTTGGTCCATTGTGTTTTCTGAGGTCCAGGGTCAACGCAGCCACATACCAGGAAGTTTTAGAGCACTTCATGCTTCCTGCAGCTGACCAACTTTTTGGAGATGCAGATTTCATTTTCCAACAGGACTTGGCACCTGCACACAGTGCCAAAGCTACCAGTACCTGGTTGAAGGACCATGGTATCCCTGTTCTTAATTGGCCAGCAAACTCTCCTGACCTTAACCCCATAGAAAATCTATGGGGTATTGTGAAGAAGAAGATGCAATACACCAGACCCAACAATTCAGAAGAGCTAAAAGCCACTATTAGAGCAACCTGGGCTATCATAACACCTGAGCAGTGCCACAGACTGATCGACTCCATGCCACGCCGCATTGCTGCAGTAATACAGGCCAAAGGAGGCCCAACTAAATACTGAGTGCTGTACATGCTCATACTTTTCATGTTCATACTTTTCAGTTGGCCAACATTTCTATAAATCCTTTGTTTTTATTGGTCTTCAGTAATATTCTAATTTTCTGATATGATGAATTTGAGATTTTCATTTGTTGTCATTTGTAATCATCAAAATTAAACAAAATAAACATCTGAAATATATAAGATTGTATGTAATGTATGAATATAATATACAAGTTTCACTTTTTAAATGGAATTACTGAAATCAATCTACTTTTTCATGATATTCTAATTTTATGACCAGCACCTGTATAATAAGTCAGAAAAAAAAGGCGCAAGGAACCAGTGACAGGGGGTAAAAAAGGGCATGAGATGTGAAGAAAAAGTCACATACATAATTTATATCCTTTCCTCAACTGTCTATCTTCTGTTTATCTGCAGCAGCTGTCAGCCCTGCTCTGGGGAAATGGCAGCAAATGACAGGGATAGATTAGCAACCACAGGCCAGCTCCAGTACACTCACAGAACCATCCGTTAGTGGCAAAACTCACTCCTGCTGCTCTTGTGCTGTTTTACACAGAGCTGTCTTTTTCATAGCAGTGACAGCATGAGTTATTAACTTAGGCTGTGCTGAATCATAAGTTAGGAAAACTTTATGATTACAAAGGTGTTTTAGTGCTTCTATGTTGGCTTTGAAAATATTTTAACAATTTTCCATTGAAGTGGATGTAAAAACAATAACTGGGTCAGCTACAGTGATAAAGTCCATTTCAATAACCAGCAGAGGGAAAGTAGCTTCAAATGTCAGGTCAACGCATGGCACACAGGCTCCCCCTGGTGGCTGACATGCAACACTACTCCTGACAACTGACTGCACGAAGTGTTTGGTGTTTTTTTAGGTTAGAAACTATGAGCTTTTCTTTCTACAGAATATGCCACAATTATCAGAATTCCATAGAAATAATGTAATCATCCTCTTCCAACGAGAGTATTTTTATTTTAAAGCCTAAAAATCTCAAATAAAAATAGTATTCTTTAAAAATGACATCAAATTCCTGAGTACATGTTCATGAGCTTTGTTGACAGGGGCCAGTGCCCCGTAAAACCTGCCTTGGCCCCTGATACTAAAAACATATTCAAAGGAATGTATGAAAAACAGATTTCTATTTGCATTGGAACAGAAACCACATTTTATAGTTTAGTATAGTCTTTTGGACCAATTTTATTACATCAATGATTTAAAAAAATTATTGGTTGCATTTGCAGCTTCAGTCATATTGGCATAGGATCATACTTTTATTCTGATTTGTCTGAGGTTTCCAGAGCTGCAAGGACTCTTGGTTAACTTAACATATCAGACAACAAACCTTTGCCCTGTTTTTTGTTTCATCGTTTGGTTCAGAGCCCCATTATACAAAAGCACCATCACCAATGGTAAATTGGGTCTAGAACATCACTGTATATGTTAATCAAACATAGAAATGTTCTATTTTTTTATGAAGAATATTGTTGATCTGCTTTTATTTAGTAACAACTGCAATAATCTATTATAAACTATATATAGGAAGAATAATTTAGCCTGGTTTTCTTAAATACTTTTAAATACATATCAGAAAATGATGGTGTTAAATCTCTGTGTTGCAGCCACACATATTAAGACTAAAATGTACGGCCTAAAAATAGATCAGTCTACCGGTAAGTAAGAGTGGGTAGAAGTCATGATTCAGCTGTGCTGCTGCCATCGACACCTTTGTTTAGTGTTGTTCTGTTTCTCTGACTGTGACTGGCTGAATGTGCTCTCTTCATTCTCTGGCATGAGAGCTGCCTTGGAGCTCGTCTGCCCGGCTGTGTGTTTCCTGGACGGGGCCGCCTTTTACAGCTGCTTTTTGTATCTCTGCTTCTGTCTCCTTGAACCCCAGTCAGCCTCGGCAGATGGCCGCTCACACTGAGCCTGGTTCTGCTGGAGGTTTCTTCCTGTTAAAAGGGAGTTTTTCCTCTCCACTTTCGCTACAAGCATGCTTAGTGTGAGGGATTGCACTCGAGTCAATGCAATTTACTGGTTTTCCTTAGATAGAAAACTTTGAATCAATTGAACTTTGAATTTAATTGATTCCGCTCCAGTATACCTCTGAGAATGGGTTCAGTATCTTTGCAAGCCATGTCCCCATATCCTCTGGCTGCAGCTGTGCAACCTTTGCAGAAGAAAAAAATATAATACCCAGTACTCGAGTTGAGGGGGGAATAGGGAGCATAGCATCTCCCTATTTCAAAAATGTTTTTTTTTTTTTAATCATCCACCTTCTTAAATGACCATACCCCCATAACATTTTATTACTGAATGTGTAACGTTTCTACTTTATATTAACAGTAATGGCAATAATATTGCCCTCTCAACCTTTAGCGGGCTGGGGGCTTACGAGAAGCCTGAGCAAAATAAATAAAATCAAAGAAGTGGCCTACCATGACTATGCAGCTGATCCCAGTGGGAAATTTGTTCTCTCTGTTTGTCCCCAACTATGCAGGGGCAGTGATAACCATGCCAGTCCAGGGCCTGACTGCAGTTCTACTGTAAGGTGTCTTGGTCAAGGACCGGCGTACCTGACATGTAACAATCATACCATGCATATTGCTTTAGGTTAACTATATTATACTAATATATATATTAATAGGCTATTTTAGTGGGAACAATGTGCTCACAAACATGTACAGTATTAGTTTTCTGGAGTAGTCCAGTGTCACCTTTCCATAGCATCCAGTTTAGGGGAACGGATGAGTAAATCTGTTCCATCAATATATTCTTCAACCTTAGTTTCTGATCAGGCAGATCTGACAGACCTGCCTGATCAGTTACTTTTATATGCCTTTGTTTAAAAAAAACAAAAAACAAAGGCATATAAAAGTAACTGAACTGCTTTTATAGTTTTGCATCCTCTGTTCTGACTTGGAGAAAGAAAAGAAACATAACTTAGTAAAATATGAACTGATTCAACATAAATTGCACAGATTTAAAAATATCAGGTGAACAACTCTTAGCCCATTTCTGTGTCTACTTCTAATGTTGCTCCAACAAAATTGCTTTCTGACCTTAGCTATAAACTATTATATAGCTGAGAGTGCTTGGAATATTATGTTTAAGAAAAATAAAATAAAGCCACAAGAAAAACATAAATATATTTATTTTTGAAGCATGCCTAAAACTCCAAAACAGGCAACAAAAAGACTCTGATGTTACACAATGGGAAAAAATAGAACTTATATTCTGTCAGCTGTCAGTTTAGGAGATATAAGAATTGGTCCTTAGATAACGTACAGAAGGCAAAAAAAAAAAAAAAAGCAAATTCACCAAAACAGCTGAATGTATAGCTTATGTTCATTTAAAGCACTTCAAGTCTGAACAGTAAGACCCTTTAACTAAAATGCACTGCTGCGTGTTAAAAGACACCAGAAGAGCAGAGTGAGTAGTATTACAGCTACATTAGTTGTATATACTCCAACAATTTGCTTGACTGTAGCCGAACCACATTCAGTGCACAAGCAGACCGGGCTTTATATTTTCTTTATGTAAACATTAACTACTTTGTTTTACTTGCGTTGGCATAGCATTACATGTGATGTGCCGTGATGAGCGACATGCAAGGACGTTCATCGTTTCTTAGCAACAAGCACAGTGAGCAGAACTCCGCCGAGCAGAGCCGCACCAACTAGCAGCCATTTGTTCAATGTCTCGTGAGATCTCCGCCCCTCTGCAGCGGCGTCTTGGCCGTACAGCTTAGCAAAGCAGTCCTATAAAAAAAAACACAAAGTAGAGAGAGTGTCAGACTTGGCTTGAGCATACGGTGCTGTTTTTGGTCACAATTAAATGTTTTGGATTATTACGTGTTTTCTTTTTTCCAAGGATTTCTTACATTTATACAGAAAGCAGTTTTCAAATTACAATTGTATTTTAAGTGGAAAAACAAAACTTGGGATTTTTTTCAACTATAAATAATCACTCCATCTACTAAATCATAAATTAGCTACGATTAAGCAAAATTTTTTGGAAATTTAACTGCAAATACAGGAGCCAGATCTTAGTCAAATTAATCGATTAGTCTCAAAAAGATTCCTAAAATTCTTCAGAGCCCGAATGCCTCGCTGCGATTGATTCTATATCACTGCAAGGGTTTTAAGAAAAATAAATACCATTAATTTATTCAGGGGGGAACAGTGGAAGCTTTGAGCATGTGTGACTCATGTTAGTTGGGGAAACAGAAGAGAGTCGGGGGTGAATCCCAAACTATTCCCCTAAGCACTAACCCTAACTATCGAGTGTCACTCCCAATGAAGGCTCATTCGCAGCTGTGGAAGGCGCCTTGATTGAAGGTGGGGGGGTATGAACAAGAATGGGATGGCATCAGCCCTCCAAAGTAAAAGGAAATCAGTTGTTGCTATGGCAACAGTGATGCACCATGTGCATGGCTGTAGCTCTGTGTTGCAGGTTAACACAACATAAAAAAAAATTGCCCCTATCTTAAAACAAATGTATACGGTCAAAACTATTTCAAATCGGACCTTCCATTTCAGAAATGATAAAAAAAAAAATCGATATCGGTTATCGGCTACATGAGTTTTAAAATATCGGCATATCGGATATCGGCCAAAATCCCAATATCGTGAATCCCTAACTAAAATACAAGAATATTTAAACGCATATTTAACTCTAGTGCCACAGTACAATCATAAAGGGTTAGGAGACTTTTTAAGTGTAAAATATTACACTTATGTGCTTAGAAAAAAACTGGGATTTTTTCTTTTTTAAATGGTATCAAAGCACAAGCGAGGGACAAAATAAATTGGTGGTCTAGTTTAAGCCTGGACTGAATCTGATTGAGATACAGTTGAATGGCTGTAAATAATCGCCCTATTAGACTGAATCAAAATGAATTGAATAAGAGTTATCACCAAACACATGAATACAGTTTGTACCCCATAAGTTAGGACAACCTAGGTCAGGGTTTACAGAAACCCTGAAGGTTTAGGGCACAGTTATTTTCTGTTTGGATAAGTTAGTAAATAAAAGCCTAGTTGGTTATGGTTATGGTTGCTTTATGTAATAACTCTGGTTATCTTTAGCCTAACTTCACAACCTTTTCAATAATTTTACATGTTTAAATGAGACTAAAAAAATGAGGGAGCAACTCTTTATCAGTTCTTTTCCAAATCCGATCCCCAGCAGACTTACCCATCCTCCCTGGCTGTGGATCCAAGGGTCAAGCTGCTCATCTAGGTAAATGGTCATCCAGTCTGAAATGCGGGACACCAACTCACTCATATTCTTTTGCACGCAGTGCACACACAGAACCCCACCAAAGGCAAACAGCCCCACCACACGGCCCCAGTTGATCCCATCCTTGAACAACTCGTCCAACACGGCCTTAAAGCTGTGGTAGGCCGTGTCAGGGGTGATGTCTAGCTGCATGGAAAGGTCACTGAAACTTTGAGAGAAGAGAAGTTCAAACTCATTTGCTGAGTCCTTCAGAGCGGATTTTACAGCCTCTATGCTTCCATGGGGGGCCCGAGACTTCCCGGGGGGGCTGGGCCTGCTGTTGAAAAGTGGGCCATTGCTGGAAGCCGAGGCGTCCTTGTCTCCCTCGGTCCGGCCACCAGTGACCTCCGACCTCAGCAGAGAGTTTGGGCAGTTTGTCTGAGACAGTTTGTAGCTTATATAGAACTCTACCAGTTCTCTGTTACTGTATGACATTATTTACACACTAAACCTCCAAAACACTGTCGACCCTAATCAGACGCCATGAGGTTTTCATATCTTCCAGTCTGCCAGAACTCACATTGGAGCTTCTGTGACGTATGCTGCAGCAAGCAACATCAACCTGGAGGAGCAGAGGACAAGGATAAGAGAGATATGTTTATCTAGGACAAATAAGAATGCAAAGCCTTTCTAAATGAAATCACTAAGTTTTAATCATTTTGTCTTCATATAGCCTGAAAAAATGTTTTTATTGATACTTTCCAATGGAAAGATTGAAATTTCAACATGTTTTTGTATTGAACAGGTCATTTAAAGTGCAGATCTAAACAGATCTGTCTTGGTAGAAACAAAATGAAATCCGTACATCATAGTTACAACATCACAGCTATCCATTTGGCACTTTATGAAATTACAATTTTTGGATTATAACACAGAGTAATAAAAAAAAAGTGCAAAAGTTCAGTAGTACTTTTTCTATGTACTGTAACACCTCTATGCTGCTCGATGTGAGAATACTTTAAATTCCAACAATCCTTCTCGTCTACATTGTTATTAGTTGGATCATTATCCATGTTCATTGGTGTTTATTTTAGCATTTAATTCAGTAGACATGTGCAGAGCTACATAAAGTGACGGGATCTCCATTTATAGCGATCACAGCTCATAATCGGTGTGTTCACCGCTAATAACACGTCATCATTACTAAATATTAACATAGCTAAGTAGTGCTCTCGGTGGAAACAAGCCAGCTTTGACAGCTTCAACAAGTCACGTAGTTTGAACATAACTGGTTTAGCCTTACATGCTAACAAGCTGCTAATCTACATCCTAGAAACGCTTCCAAAAAAAGAAGAAAAAAATGGTGTAAAGTCAATACGAGGAGATTTTAAAGCTTAGCGTGTCTAGAAGTTATACTTACGAATCCCAAAAAGGTAAGGATCCCAACTAAGAACGGAGATTTAGGGATAAAAGTGGATAGAAGTGCAAACTGAACGTAAACATTTTTGACAGGGGCCCGTTCAGTGACGCTGATGCGCTGTTGGCCAATTGACGTTAAAAGCCCCTCCCCCTTCTGCTTCTACACCAATCCAGTATCGAGACACCCCGGAAGTGCTGTGATCCGTCTCGTAATTTTTCACATCACTCGCACTTTCTCAATCACATGGAAGCACGTTTCCGCCACTTATAAAAAAATGAAATAAATTATCTCATTATTTTGAAAAGGTATCTCATTGAGATACTATCTCATTATATTGCAATAGTAACTTATGAGATACTATCTCAATATGATAGTAACTAACTATGAGATACTATCTCATAGTATCTCATGAGTTAGTAATTCAAAATAATGAGATACTATCTCAATATAATGAAAAATATCCCATGAGTTACTATCTCATAATGAGATACTATCACTATTTTTGGGAAAGTATCTCATGAGATAGTAACTCAATATATATATTTTTCAATTATTTTTAACAGTGGTGGAAACGGGCTTCCATACAATCATATACTTCCCACATTACTGCTTAAAGCAGTTCTAGCGCTCATACTTTCTGAATAAAATTTAAGTGTAGAAAATAGCAGTTACTATTGATTTAATTGCAGAGGAACCTTTATTTCTCCCCACCATAAATATATATTCATGAAAGGAGCTACTTGATGTGAATTCCTTATAAAATTTATTTTATAGCTAAAATATTTTTGTCTAATCTAAATTGTAAACCATTAGAAGAGAAAAAAAGGCAAACAAACCTCAAATATGTTTGACTACATCTATCAAAATTGATGTTGTGAAAATGCAGACTATAATCCCACCAAAGCTTTTTAATAACTTTTTATTCAAACAAGTACATAAACTTTAAATGCATCTTTAATCGTCTAAATCTGGAATAACATGAACAGGATACACTGAAACTAAGACTAAGACAAAAGTAAAATAAAACCATATAAACCTGAAAAATATTTGTATATGCCGTGACAACTAAGGGCAAATTGAAAAGGTCTATAAAACAGAACCGCAATGTTGGTAAAATGACAGTTTGTATATTGAACTGTTTAATATATATATATTTATATGTGAATTGACAATTATACAATGGAGGTTAGGGTAAAGGTTTTTCTTTTCTGCAGCAAATGAGTAAAATGTTGAAAACAGATTGTTATGACTCTTAGGAAGCCCTCCAGGTTGTAACCATTTATGGAGCAGTATAATCGGTTTGCAGCCAAGACCCAAAAGCAAATTAACATGGAGTCATTCCATGCTTTTCTTCAGGTCTTCCATAAAGCTCTCCATGGCAGGCTAATTTTGTCATGTTGTTTTTCCTTCTGTTTCGCTCTGTGGGGAATGTGATTCCATGTACTCTTCTTGTACATCAGCTTTTTCATCCTCCAGTATGACCTCTTCTTGGTTGGCTTCAACGTTTTCATCCTCTGACAAAACCTCTTGGTTTTGTTCAGTGTTTGCATCCTCTGACAAGACCTTCTCTTCTTGGTTTGGTTCAACGTTTTCATCCTCTACTGTTACCTTCTCTTCTTGGTTTGGTTCAACGTTTTCATCCTCTACTGTTACCTTCTCTTCTTGGTTTGGTTCAACGTTTGCATCCTCTGACAAAACCTCTTCTTGGTTTTGTTCAACATTTTCATCCTCTAGTATGACTTTCTCTTCTTGGTTTGCTTCAACATTTGCATCCTCTGACAAAACCTTTTCTTGGTTTGGTTCAACGTTTTCATCCTCTAGTATGACTTTCTCTTCTTGGTTTGGTTCATTGTTTGCATCCTCTAGTGTGACTTTCTCTTCTTGGTTGTGTTCAACGTTTGCATCCTCTGACAAGATGACCTCTTCTTGGTTTGGTTCATTGTTTGCATCCTCTAGTGTGACTTTCTCTTCTTGGTTGTGTTCAACGTTTGCATCCTCTGACAAGATGACCTCTTCTTGGTTTGGTTCAAAGTTTTCATCCTCAAGGGTAACCCTCTGTTCTTGGTTTGGTTCTGCTTCATCATCTGACAGGATGGTCTCTTCTTGGATCAGGTCAGCTTCTTTTCCATTTGGACTTTTGCTTTCTTCTCCAATTGGATCAGCCATTCCCACACGTTCATCCCCTTCTGTCAGCTTCTCTCGGCACTGAAATTCTACATGGTCTCCATGGTTTGCTGTAACCGTTTTGTTCTCCTCTTTGTTTGTGTCATCTATCTGAACAGGATTCTCCATTTCTTCTTCATTGTCTGAATCTATTGAAATGATCTCTATGTGCAAACCACTGTGATCCACTATAGGGTTTGGCGGCTGAGGAGACCACTTTGGTTTTGGGTATGGAGCATATGACTTTAAGCCCAAAGATCTAACAGCCGAGGTGCCAACCAACCTCCCTTTATCAAAAATCAAGTAATGCTTCAGCTTGCTTACTGCGTCCATGTCAAGGCCAACTTGAACCGAAACCCTCTTGGTTTCACAACTCGTCACACACAGCATTTGTTTCATTGTAAAGTGACTAGCGACTTCAGATTTCCACAGCCACAGACTGGCGGCCAGCTTCTCCACTTCTTGGGAAGTTGGGTATGGCCGTCTGTTAAAATATGCAGTCAGGAACTCTTTCCTGGCTTCATGAGTCTTGTGCTCCCAGCCAGAAGGATCCAGAACCAGGCTGTCAAATGTAGTAGCGCTTCCACGAAAAGGACCTGTTCTTTTGCTCATTTTGATTCTCTTGGGATTTGATGGAGACTGTGTTGGCAACTGCCTCTTGAGGATACCAGCACCTGCTGAGTTGAGAGTCAGGGAAGATTTGAAGCCTTGATTTGACTGATTCCTACCAACTGCTCTGCATTGCACAAGGTGCAGTGTGATTGTGGACGCTACCATGTTACTAGTGTACACCCCTAAACAATGAATGCACTTGTATGTCATTTTGTTTTCAACAGGATGGATGGTTTGGATCACTTGATGTCGCTGTCTAAGGTGCATGGCCAAGGCCTCTGAGACAGGACCTTTAAGGATGGAGAAACACAGCGGACAAACGGTCTTCCCAACTTCGCTTGTCTGGAATAATGAAGGGAAACTTCTTGGTTCGCCTTGTTTTTCCATAATTCTAACCGGTGGTACTTTTCCGGGCAGATGAACAGATTGCAGTGCAGGTGCAGATTGATCCTGACCATTGGGCGAATCCTTCATGTTGAAAGGGAGGACAGCCAGCTGAATGTTAGTGGGTTTGCTTTGTTTGATGGTAAGATCAAACGTTAAAGGAGCTGCACCAGTGGGTCCAAAAAACTCATCTGGGTGGGTCTTAGCTGTGTGCTCCATGATCTTTTCCACACTGTGGAAAGCAGAGTGGCACTGGGGGCAGGTTAAGCCGTGGATCAGCATGTGGTTCAGTAATGTGCTGCTGGGCAGATAACGGTTGCAAAGCAAACACTTGCTGGTGAAGTTGTGGATTTTCATAATGTATTTGGCTAATGCCCAAACTTTCTTTGCCTTGTGAGCACACTCAAAATGAGCACTGTACAGGTTTTCTGGAAAGAGCTCATTGCAAACAGTGCATATCTTCCACTTCTGTGTTTGGGCTGTGTTTACACCAGTTTGATTATTTTCAGCTACAGAACCATTGGTACCGACAGTGACACGCTTTGGATTGGCAGGGATGCTGCGCTGACTCTTAAAAGTAGGCTTCAGGTAGCCAATTACAGGCTGCACTGATGGCTCAGGTCTGGGAGCTTTAGCTCTGTTGATGATCAGAGCAGCTTTCTCATTCATGGTTGGCTGAGGCTTTGACATAACGTTAGCATGTCCGATCATGTTTGTAACCTGCGATCCAATGCGTTCATGGAACTCTACAACATGCTGCACTAAACCCTCATAGCTCCGAGTAGAATATGAACACTGTTTGCAGAAAATGCTATTGCCGTTGACAGAGCAAGCACCGTTTTTCAGTGATGGTGAAACCTTGCCATAATAAGGCAAAACAACATGCTGAAAATGTTCTCTATAAATATGCCTTCTGACCACATTGTAGAGTGCGTCTCGATATTTGCATTTCTTGCAGAAATACATTGGTTTTTCGAGTCTGTTCCCCTGTACGGTACTGTTTCCCAAAACAGAAGCACGTGGATTCCCATGACTCGGCTGGAATGGATTTGAAATGTGGAATATTTTTACATGCGTCTCCAGAGTCCTCCTGTTTGCACTGAACGAACAGTACGGACAGTTGAGAAGAAGCTGGCTGTCCAGGATTTTCCGGTGCACACTGCGGAAGTGGTTTTTGTAGCCAGAGTAGTATTTGGAAGAAAATCGGCACTCTGTGCAGCAAAACTGCTTCGATCGGTACCCCTAAAAGGACATCCAGGGAAAGAAACAGTGGTCTTAGAATATTAGATGTATTCATGAGTACAAGTGGAAAGAGGATGTACCTGTGATTTAGAGTTGGTGGGATCCCATGTGCAGATGTCATAGCTTAGACTATCCTTTACAGTTTGTTCATCTGGGCAGAACTCTTTAAATTCCTGTGGAATCAATGACAAAGATTAAGCTGCGTTCAAACTGAGTGCATAAAACGGTCTAATTTACATGCAAAGTCTATGCAGGACCATGTCAAGAGGTCCAGCTGCACCTTAAAGCATTGGGCGGCTCATCTGAGCGTTTTGGCGTCCGGGCATCCGAGCGTTCAATGCTGGAGTTACAAAAATTGAACTTTTGCACTAGACGCTAGAGTGTCAACCAAGAAAAGGGCTTTTTGGGGGGAGATAAGACACTACATGCGATTATATTTTCTGCAGAGCTGTCTGCATATGTAAAATAAATATTAACGGGTAAAACGCCAAAGGTTTAAAAAAATAAAATAAAATAAATCTCGAAGAATAGATTGTTATGTAGGCTACAAGAAAAAGAGAGCAAGCTCTGACCATTATTGCTGCACTAAAACATTTTCTATGAATTATGGCAAAACAGTTTATAAATACCGAAATTAACAAAAAAATGTTAAAACAAGCAGATGAAAAATATTTGATTATATATCCCGGTACTTGCAGATTTTACCAAAAACCTTTAAAACTCTTTATATTCACTTCCCACCACTATGAACGGCAGCGGGAAATCCCCCACAAGCAGCCATGGGTGGTATGCTGTAGGCCTGTTGCTCCCAACAGTCACTGCATAATTTAGTGGGATCATAAACATGATGAACTAACTGTACAGAGGGTTGTTTGGAGGTGGATTTTTTTGCTTAAAAAAGTGTCAAAACTATTTTTCCAACTAATAAATAAAGTCAAGCTGATCTCTAGCTTGTAGCTACAGAACAGAGGAGATAAATGCAGCATTAGACTTACATTTTCAATTTTTACCTTGTTCTTTATCCATACATTTATTGAACTGTTAGGGTAATTTCAGTTGGTTTACAAATCAAGGACAGATACGACATTAAATTCACCAGGTATTAAAACCTTTGACAGCGCTAAGTGCCAAGACATGATGGAAATTAGGATTTAATATTAATATCCCCCTCTGTCTGGAATATCAGGGCTTTTTATTTGCGCACAAAGTTCACTTACTGGTATATATGAAAAACATTACTTTGAACCTACTGTCAACAACATTTCAGTCTTTCTCTTTCAATACGACAACTGTAGCCAGTAATTATGATAAATCTGTGTCCTGAATTTTGAGGCACCAACTGTGGCCAAAGCTTAGTTGTCCCTGTTCCTATGTACCTCTGTTAAGTGTAACTTTTTGGATCTATATTGTATAAAACAGGTATATGACTTAGACAACTTTAATTGTTTGTTACAGCTTTTCATACAGTAGATGAACATTTCCATTTCTTAAAGTGCAGCAGTGATCGAATGCAGTTTGGGAGAAAAAACATGGTGCAAAAAAAAAAAAAAAAAAACTCATTGATATAGAAGTTAACATTAACATATATGATGCAAACATGGAGTATTTTTGGTATTTGAGGGGTATTTAAATATTATTGAGCATTTTGTTACAATTTTAAGTGAGATTTTTTTTTTATTGCTTTAATTTTGCATATCCATCTCAGTAATGTTCTAGTGAGTAAACAGCGCATAGTGCTGTTAATTTTTCCGAATGCTTCAAATGGCACATGCTGGTGCATGGTTAAATCCCTCATACAGGATATCATCACTCACTCAAACATACACCTCTGTAGTAAGTTATCCAGCCCTCCATCACCTATGCAGCACTGGCTTCAGCATCACCTTGAAGAAAGCAGCTCTGACTGATAAGGCTTTGACTCAATAGACTCAGTGTTGAGAAGGGGGATGAAAAGTCCTCTGACTCAATGGCTGCTACACATGAACTTTGTGGCGACTGTGTGTAAGCCAATTATCAAAATGTTATCAAACAGACCTCTAGAGTTTGTAAGAAAAATACATAAAACAACCAATGGTATGAGTAGCTGGAGGAAAGCACATTCAATAACCGAACTTTCTATCTTTTAGCACACCAATAAATGAAAAAAAATCATAAAACAACTTAATCACTCACCTCTGCCACCTCCTTGCAAAGCTCAAGCCCTATATCTTCAAGGTTTTTCTTAACTTGTTTTCTGGCTTTCCTGATTCTTGTAAGATTATTCACAGGGAGCTGGTACATGGCTGCTGGCAGAAAATAAAAATAAAATTAAAACTTTAGATATTGTTTGAAGCAGATTTTGTTTTTTTGAAAAATCACAGCCACTAAATCGCATAGAAAAAAACTTTTTAAATCAATTTCAAAGATCACTGAACGACACTGTCTTTGCACCGGATCGCGCGGTCATTTTATAAAGTATCAGAACACCATACGCAACATCAATGCGTTTTCAGCTTGAGTCGCTGTAAATACACCTACCTCAGCCTCAATGCATTTTCTCATTAAGTGGACCTTTATATCATGAAATCGGCTACATTAGCTTTGTTACGTTAGCACCTAAGGCCGCTCTTGCTGCATGATGCGAGTTCTAGTCTGGTCGGTTAGCCGGAGTGTTATGTTTATCACAATATTAACAAATAATGCGTTTTACTTACCTGAGGATGTGTCTCTGGTTTAAGTCTAAACTGGTTTACTCATCTACACCAATTGGTGAAAACTAAGTACACTATAGGAGAGTGTATGGACAAAATGACTGGTGATGTTCTCCGTTTTCTGACGCCGGGGGATGCTAATGATTTAGCTTCTCCTCTGCTAACTAGCTAAATGCTAGCTGAATAGTTAACAGTCACGTGTGCTGCGCATTATCAAACACTTTAGAAAACCGAATAAACGTGGTAAAGCACACATTTAAGAAATATAGCACATTGCACTAATGACTTGTAGGTCCCAACTTTCCCTGCGTAGTTTCTTTAACTCCTTGCAGTGCTGTTAGCCTGTTAGCTGCGTTGTGTATTTTAGGAGCTTGATACCAAATCCAAAATGGCTTCTTCTTCCTCTTCTTCTTTTGTGATGTGTAATGGCGGTTGGCACACAATTTAAAAGAGCATTACCGCCACTTACTGGTATGAATTGTGGAACAAAATGATAGTATACTAACTAATTAATGTATCTACTTTATATCAATAATACAATAACCAAATATCCTCTATCTAATATAATTAATATTTGTTATTACCAATATCTTAACATTTTCTGTTCCAAGTGTTTTTATCTTCCCTTCATCTTCAACCTTGTAACAATGTTTTCCCAACTAAATTCTCCCCAAAACTTTTCAGCCCCTCTGGCAATGATTCTGATTTTCTCTGTTTTATGCTTGTCTTGGTCTGTGCAGGTAATGACATACATTCGGAATAAAATTAGTTTCTCTGGTGTCGAAATGAAATTATCTTCTCTTTTTACTTAATTTTGCTTTTGTACCTGATTCTGTGCTTGTTTAATTTCTCTAGTCCTTTGTCTTTGAACTCTCTTCACCGCTTCTGTGTAGCTCATATTTTTTGTTGTTTTAACATGTTTTATTTCCCCTGACTGTTTTCTCTCCTTACATCCTCCATAGTTGACTCTATGCTGGCCTCGACGGTTGCAGCACTTTTCTTCAGCTTCTTCCCTGCACTCCCAGATTTTGTGTTCTTCTCTGTATTTTGAACATCTTTGCTTTCCCCTACAAACTGCTGCCATGTTTCTGTAGCGCTGACACCTGTAGCACCTGGGTGGAGGTGGAATGAGCGGCCTAATTGGGAAACTCATGAAACCTATTCAAACTTTCTGGTGGAACTGACTCTGAGAACTATATCAGCAGTGACATGTGTGCAATCCTTTGTATGTTTTTATACAGTCTGTATATCTTGTTAACATAGCCTCCAATAAAGCTACTATGTAATTTATCTAAATTCTAGTTAATTGGAATTCCTGTTATCACTCATTTCACTGTTTTATTCTCTCCTACGACTTTTATCTCTATGACCTCTTTTAGTTTTCAACATTCAATGGTTTGATTTTTTGCTCCTCATTATTATATATTACCAGCAAGTTTCAATCTTTCAACTCCTTCATTAATTCGACATTCCCAATTCTCTTATTTATTCCTCTGGAAACCAAAATGGGGCTCAAATGACTCTGTTTATCTTCAGCACTGAATCTAAATATTATTTTTATTTCTTCTCTGACAACCTTCCTTCGCCAAACCCTTTATACACCTGAACTGCTTTCTTCTAATTGTTATTTGTTTCCTTGACTCTACCATTTTATTTCATCTATCTCTCTATTTCCCATTTGAGACTGTTGTCCATCCTTCCTCATCATCATCTACCTGACTTGCCATATTGTTCCATCCACCATCCAAAAAGGCGGTCAGGAAAGACACATTGTTTTGCTGCTTTTTTTTAAAAAGAACTTTAGTAAAACAAGAAACAATGCCTTCCCAATTGTGTAGATGCACTACAATGACACAACTAATATAGCTCCCAAAAGAAATTATTCACACAATATTTATAGCATGCAAATTAGATTATACACCCAAGTCTGTATGACTAGAAAACAAACACACAGAAAAAATAAATAAATGAACAGGAAATAAAAAAAGAAGAGAATAAAACATACACAGAAAAAAAAAAAATTTAACCAAAATGTGAAAGGACTAATCTATTTTAGGTGGGAGTTTAGGTTTTTGCCTTTATACTTTTTGTTCAACCAGGAAAAGACAGAAGTGGTGTTATGATTTAGAGAATAAATTAGATGGCTGTTTGATATAATTTTTTTTTCAAGGTGTAAAATTCTCACAACCTCTCCAAAGATTTTTATTTACAGTTTTACATATCAGAGTTTGCTGTAGTAGAATAAAACAAAAAGTATTACTTTTGTAATAACGTTGATTTTCAGTCTTGTTTTTATTCTAGTTGCTCCATAACTTCCAGCACAACAACACGAGGTCCAGTCATCACCAGCCTGGTCACTGTCTTGTAGTCCAGGTAAAGAACACACCTCCCATTCACCTGGCACACAAACTGTCGAATCTACAGAGTGGTTACATTCATCCATCACACTTTTGTCCTTGCATTTAATATAACTGTTTTACAGTTTTATTGTCTATTTTACTTTGACTGTTTTTTTCACCTTAACTCCAGCAGCTGCAGCAGGGCTTCCAGGGTCCACGGCTTGCACATAACATGGAGCCCTGCCTCTGACGACAATGCCCCATCCTAGAGCATCCCCAATCACCTGCTTTGTGAGACAAAGTACATCTTTGAGGTGAGGGAAATGCAACCTAAAGTTAAAACTGATTTATAGTCTATAAAGAAATATGTAAGTTCCAGAATTGCTTCACTGACGTATGGATGTTTGTTGTGTTTTTGATGCTAGACCATACATGGTCCCACAAACTCACCGTCAGAACTTTTTTGATGAAAGGTGCCCCCGGAGCCAATAACTCTTCACATGTGACATGTCTTTTTAAAACTGCAGAACCAACAACAGCAACAAAAAAAATGCTTACATGATCATTAAAACATTCCAAAATATTTCACAGGCTCCTTATTATCAACAAAAGTTCATAAAAACACAACTCACTACAATAATATATCTATCTATACACATATAGTTAGATACATATGTCTGTGTCTGATTGTACATGTATTTATAAGCCTCTAAAATGTTACATTTGCCATTTTTAATACATCTGAACTTGCCTGATTTAGGATTGCATCTCACAATGGAGTTTGAAGACAGCTGAGCAAGAGTTTGAAATCCACCAGAATGAAGCGGGAGTGTATTCAAGCTGGATCGCCTGCTTCCAGCAATGTGTTTTACCTCTTTGGTTGGCCTCTCTGCAGAAAAATGTGTGTAAAGAAGTCAATATTCAAATAACAGTGTATTTTTGCAACAACAACAAAAAAACAAAACTGTTGCAAATCTGATTTTTACCAGAATGAAAGGCATCTGTATGTTCCTGGATTGAGTCTTTGCGTAGAGAGAAAGGACTGTCGAGATTGCTTTCCTCTTGGGTGGATGTCCCATCAATGTCCTGCTCCCTTTCATTTAACAGTTCTGATAGGCGCCGGCGGCGACGGAAATTAATGCAAAACTGATAGAGGAGCCCGCTGTCGAAGAAGTCATGCTTCCTTGTCACTAGTGGCAGAAATGAAATGCAACATTAAATAACGTTGGGACGTGTTTTAAGAACAAATGGAATTGTTTGCCAAGGGATATTGAATCTATTTGCTTTTGATTGCAAAAGTCCCTAGTGGCCATTCACCACTGGCAACCACATCTTATCCTTCATTAAAGTGCAAATGAGCTCCGCCTCACCGTGCTGAATGATGCCATGCTCCTGCAATGCCCGGCTTAAGTCCACTCCCTGACGCCTGCTCTCCACCTCTCCGTTCTGGAGGAGCCAGTCAATCAGCTGGTAGCCTGGAAACGAGCGCTGATATGAAACCCCATGCTCCTCCCTCAGCTGCAGGATAGAGTTTTTGTCTGCTATGAGACTAAAAAAAAAAAGTAATTAAAGTCAGTCAGCAGTTGCCTTAAAACATTTTCTAGATATTATTTTCAAAAGACTCTAAGGAAGCTACATTAGACAACACAATTTGAAATAATCCACACTTATGATCCCTCCATGATAAAGATGAGTAAAAAAGCTTTCAAGTACAATAAATATTTTTTTGTATTGGCATTTAATATTGAATTAAAGATTAGCTACAGATATCTAACACCAGTCCTTGGTGCTGTTGGAACCACCATAATGACCATCCTTGCTGTTTAGGGTGCAAAGATAAAATTGTATCCTCATCTTTCTTGTTTATCCTAGTTCCAGTTGTTTTAAACTTTAGATTTACTTCTTTAGCATTTTCACTTGTCTCAAATAGGGGATTCTCAAAATCCTCTATATCACACTTATCTGAAAAAATTGCATCTACATTGATTAAAACTTTTTTGTTACTTTAAAGGAATATCAAGGGGTGCTATAAATTATGGCACCATTTATTGAGGTTTTTCTGATGATTAAATTACACCACAAAGTGAAATGTACCTTCATTAAAGCTGGAGTCCTAAAAAAATTTAATAAATACATAAAATCTTACTATTGCAGGAGAAATATAATAATTTCAAAACATATTTTAACACATCTTTAAAAATGATGACTTGTGAAGGAGTGCTTTTTTATAAGAAAGAGTCATGATTTTTTTTGTTTTGTTTTTGGTTTTATTGTAAAGGCTGCATAAAATTATTAATTTTGGATGATAACTTCTTTCTTGTATCCAACTCTTTAAAAGTTTGTCTGTTTTCCTTTAAATTGTGCCATAAGTCACAGTATTTGTTTGGCAAAAACGAGCAGATTATGAGGTTTGCACCCATGAAAGATCTTTTATTCCTCCTTACATATGTCAAACAAATAATTTTGCAACTGACTTTTGTTTGAAGTTTGAAACAAGATATTTTAACAATATCTTTTATTCCCTCAAAGGTGCTTAAATAGTGCAAAACAGAAACATACCTAGTCACCAACTTGGTCACATATTGATGTGGATTAACATCTTATATAGTAAATAAAAAAAACTCAGCCAGTTTGGTTTTGATTGTGTTCGTCGATCTGGAGCAATCACCACACAGAGAATGATCCTGCAATTGTTCAGCATGGTTAAGATTAGGACAGTAGAAAGGCTATTAAATCCTCTCCACTCCCAGGTTGTCTTGCGTCAACACCTGCCTTTGAGAGTGAAGAGACATGTGATTTTACTGACTGCAGAATCTCATTTTGAGAATTATCCAGTGAGGGAGATTCCTCCTAAATCATCCCAATATTTATAACTGACAGAGAGTCTGTAAGCTCAAATCACAGAGGCATTTTTCACAAATATGGCACAATTTAAGAAAAAGAGCCCATATATTTTTAAAGGAAAATTTTTCAACACAAATGTTCTCACTTTTGTTTTTTTCTTGAATATTAAATTGGTGCTTAAGAAACACCCTTGCAAAAAAGCACCCAACTTTCAATTGAAATA